TTCCCTGCAGGGATCCCAGTAATTCTGACATTGGAATGTTTCATGACATCATTTATTTTCCTAATTGTTTTCATGGTTTCTAAGCTGTTTCTTCTATGCCTCCTCTTGATCCTTTTTCTCTATCAGTTTGTCCTCTAGATCACTAATTCTATCTTCTGCCTTGGTTACTCTAGCTGTTAGAGTATTTAGATAAGATCAGATCTCATTGATAGCATTTTTAACTTCTTCCTGGGCAGCTCTCACTTCCACCCTTAGAGATTCCATGTTGTCACTAATGGTTTTCTCCAACCTAGCCATTGCCTGGATAATTGTTACCCTGAATTCCCTTTCCGACATACTGTTTATGTCCATATCCAATAGTTTTGATGGAGAGGGCACAGTCTCTGAATTTTCCCTCTGTTGGTTGTTCCTCTTCCTAGTCATTTTGGTGAGAGGTTGTTGAGGGGATGTGTAGCTTAGTATATCAACTGCAATCCAGGCAAGGTGCACCCTGGAATACTTCTGAGCAATCGGAAGTCACCACTAAAAAGAAAGAAAAAAGAAAAAGAAAAGAGAGAGAGAGGAAAAAAAGAGAAGACCCAGCCAGAATGGGCACCAAATTTAAGATTTATAAGGTATACAAACAAAAACAGACAAACAAGAAGACCGAGGAAAGTAAATGACAAGAAAAAAAAAAAAAAAAGAACCCAGTCAAAATAAACCCCAAGGATAAGATGTATGTAATACCAGAAAAAAACAAATACACAGAAACACTGACAGAAGAATAAGATGGGAACGTGGTTATAAATCCTCGATGTGGGCAAGAAAGGTTAATTTTGATTCTTCCTGGGTGTATCTTGATATCTATGTTAAAGGACTCAACTTCCCAGAGATAAAGGGAGATTAAAATTGGTTTATATATAGGGGTAGTATTGATCAGAGAAAAAGGATTACCTTGAAGCTACATCTATATGTATATTTTAAAAAGAAAAAGAAAAACACAGGTATATGTATGAGAAAACTTCAAGTTAAAAGGTTATTATGAAATATGTTGTATTAAACTTCTAGTTGTAATGCTAAGTAGGTTTAAAAAATTACAAGAACAAGAATTGCTAGAACAAGTTAAAAAAAAAAAAAGTTGTGTCTATGAAATATACAGGTTTTAGGGCAATACCAGGAGCTTAATATATTATTTTCCCCTGATGTTAGGGTTTTACAGTTTTATGGGGACTCTGTGGTGGTTTTCCTCTTGTTCTTTTGGCTTGCCTTCTGGGAGAGGGGCCTGCCACATTGTTTTTCAGTCAGTCCTGCTTGGGCTGAGTCATCCTGCCTCCTATCAAGGGGCGGGGCTCTGTGGAAACCGGTTTTTCAGGCTTTTGTTCTTAGGACGTTTTTGTTCTATGGGGGCTTTTTGCATCTTTTTTTTTTTCTTTTTAAGATTTTATTTATTTATTTGACAGACAGAGATCACAAGTAGGCAGAGAGAGAGGGGGAAGTGGGCTCCCTAAGCAGGGAGCCCAATGTGGGGCTCCATCCCAGGACCCTGGGATCATGACCTGAGCAGAAGGCAGAGGCTTTAACCCACTGAGCCACCCAGGCGCCCTTTTTGTGTCTTTTCAAAGGTTTAGTGGAAAGCAAACTGCACCCAGACCTCGACCTCAGAGAAGAGCCTCAGTCTGCTCTCCTCTGAATGGTCCAGAACACACAGACTCCCCCTCTGCAAACTCCGCTGAACAGCACAAACTCCCACAGGTAGTGCGCACCCCCAGACTGTCTCAGTGGTTGCCCGAGGTATCTGCTTGTTTCTGCACCCCTATGCCACTAAAGCCACAAACCATATTGGTCCAGGGAGCCCACTCCAGTGGCTGCCTTTGCTGGGACTGCTGTCCGGGGTCCAGGCCCATGCACTCAGACCCCACGGTCACACAGGTCACAGAAGGCTGCCACCAAGGGATCCTGACCAGAGATTGCACCAGGTTCTCCCAGGCACAGGCTGGGAGTGTCCAGACCCTTGGCCAGTAACAGAAGGCTGGGGTCCTAAAGAGTGCTGGTTGGTGCCCACACTAAGCTCTCTCAGGCGCTTGCGGGAGTGCACTCAGACCCCGTGGTCATGCAAGGCATGCAGAGTGCAGAAGGCTGTGGACCTAGAGAGCACCAGCTGGTGCTCAAACCAGACCATCATGCACAGGCGGGAGTGTGCCCAACTGAGCGGTGGTGCAAGCAGTGCAAAGCTGGGGCCTCAGGGGCCATGGACTGGGGGCTCCACTGTACTCTCTCTGGCACCAGTGGTCACTGGTGGTGACTGTCCTGGGTCCGCAGGCTATGCCCATTCCCATGACTGCACGATTCCACCAGTTGCCCCTTGAGATCTTTTGCTCTTTTTGAGTGCCTGCAACCAGACTCTGGGTTAATGCTGGTCCCTAACCACAGGGCACTTTCAAATTGGAGTATTATTTTCCAATGGGTCACTTCTGGTGGCTCCCTCCCCCTTCTGCTTATCCTCCAATATCAGTCCAACCATTCCCACTCTGTTTTACCACTCCATTGATGTCTTCTGCCCCTGTAGAGATCCAGAAGTGTATAATCCTACATCTCAGGTGGATTTCATGGGTGTTCAGAATGTTCTGGTAGATATTTAGCTCACTTTGAGGAACCAGTTGAAACAGGGTCTCCTACTTCTCCATCATCTTGCCCCTCCTCCTTGTTATGGATTTCTAGTTTCATACCATGATAGTCAGAAAACATTCTTGAAATAATTTAAATATTCTTAGACTTGCTAAGATTTGTTTTCTCGGATGATATATGCTCTATCCTAGAACAGACTCCATGTATGCCTGAGAAGAATGTGTATTCTGCTACTATGTTGGCATATTCTGTATGGGCTGATTGGCTTAATTTGGTTTAAAATATAGTTCAAGTCCAATGTTTCTTTATTGATTTTTTTTGGTCTGGATTATCTATCCATTGTTGATAGTGGAATATTGAAGTCTTCTGGTATTGTATTATTGTCTCTCTTCAGTTCTATTAAAATTTGCTTTATGTATGTTTAGGTGCTCCAATGTGGGGTGAATATACATTTAAAATTGTTACATCTTTTTCACCACCATGTGCATATATAAGTACTACATTTTTACTCTCTCCCACATCTTATCTTATTAATATCACAATTTAATTTTTAATATTTATCTATAATGTATCATTGTAGCCATAGTTATTTTAATAGTTTTGTCTTAATCTTTATAATAGAGGTAAAGGGATTTATATACCACCATTACATTATTTTATTTTTACCAAGGAGTGTTATGTTTTTATGTATTTTCATTGTTACTAATTAGCATCCTTTTGTGTCAGCTTAAAGAATACCTTTAGTTCTTTCAATTGGATCAAATTATGATAAACTTAACTCCTTTAACTTTTCTTCCTTTTTGTTTTTTGTCTAGGAAAATTTTGATCTCTCAATTCTGAAGGACAAATTTACTGAATAAAAAATTCTTGGATGGCAGTCCCCACCCCCCTCCTTTTAACAATTTGAGAATATCATCCAATTTCCTCCTGGGCTACAAGGTTCCTGCTTGCAGAAATCCACTAATAGGCTTATGAGTTTCCCTTGAGTATAACAGATTACTTTTGTGGCTTTCAATATTTTCTTTAAGTTTTGAGAATTTAATTATATGTTGCAATGTGGGTCTCTTTATATTCATTTTATTTGGTGTTGTTCGTGCTCCTTGTAAATGTCTGTTTATTTACACAGGTTTGGGAATTTTTTAGCTATTGCTAGAGTAAGTTCTGCCCCTTTCTCATTCTCTTCTCTGTTTGTGACTCCCATAATACATACATTATTTTATTTTATGATGACCCATTAGCCCTTTAGTCCTTTTCATTCTTTTTTTTTTCCTTTTTGCTCCTCTGATTGGATAATTTCCACTGAGTTGTCTTTGAGTTTACTGATCTTTTCTTCTGCTTCACCTAGTCTATTAAGTAGTTCTATTGATTAAGTAGTTCTATTGTTTTTTTTCAAGTCAGTTATTTTATTCTTCAGCCTTATGATTTATGTTTGGGTACTCTTCCTTCTTTGTTGAAATTCCCACTTTTTTCATGCATTACTCTCCTGACGTCAGTAAGCATCTTTATAACCTTTATTTTGAATTTGCTGTTGGGTAAATAACTTGTCTCTGTTTCCCTAGGGTCAGTTTCTGGAGATTTGTCTTCTTTTGTTCAGAACATATTCCCATTTCTTCAATACTCTCTGTATTGTTTTGTGTGCACTAGATAAAACAGCCTTCTCTCCCAGCGATGTCAGTCTGGACTTGTTTAAGAGGTAAACCTTGCCAATCAGCTTAGCCTACTCTTCTGTTTGCCTCTCAAACCTCTGTGCTTGTTTAAACTGCTGTCTTTGTTCTGAGTAGTGCCCAGGAGATTTTGGTGTGCTATGACTAGTCAGCAACCCAAAGACATTAGAAATGCCCACACGCTCAATCATGCACCGTGGATTACCACTAATTGTCCTTTTAGCTCATCAATGCAGGCTAAGTGAAAGCCAATCATCACGCTGAAGATAGAAAACTCAGGATGTTAAATAAGTAGTCTATCTCCTAGTAAGGAGAAACTTTGAGTTTGGTATTTTTCCCACTCATCCTGTGATGATTTGGAGGAGATAGTCATTGAAGAGTTATTTTGTTGCATTGAGAGTTATTTTGTATGCAAAAAGAAGTGCATCATTAATCTCTGCAGTCCTGGTGCTCTTACAAATCCTGCACCCCTTCAGGTCCCACAACCGCCAAGCCCTTATACAAAGAAGTTAGGGTGCTAGATGTATAGACAAACTCCTTTTAAAGAGAAATTGGAGACTTAGCTTTATTCCTGGGATGAGCCATGAGAAGGCACAGGGAGTTCCTACATGCTTACATCAGCTTCTAGGGGATTATTAAGTAGGTTAACACTGTCCCAGGGGACTCACAAATACCAAACACTGTTTGTTTGTTTGTTTGTTTTCAGATATAAGTGATTTGGGAGCCCATCCATCAAGTGGCAGCTGTAAAAGTTGTGGACATGTTCCTTCTAGGGAGAAGCTGAAGACTTGGTTTTACTGTTTCTGCTGGAAGAAGAAGATAGAGAAAAAGCCCACAAGTACTTTCAGGCTCCCAAGAAGGTCCTAATTAGCTCCCTCATGCAGTGTGATTTAAAAGTAGATGGAGAAGAATGCAGTCAAGCCCCTTAAAGAGAAAAACTGGGAGCCTTGTATATCTGCCTGCTCCCTCTGTACTGAGCCCAGGGGGATTGCCATTGGAAGTGTTCATACATCCATTTAAAAATGACCTCTTTTTTTTTCAATAAATAAGAAGTGTTGGTGAGCATGTGGAAAAAAAAGAAACATTTTCACACCATTGGGAATGTAAACTGGTACAGTCATTGTGGAAACAGCATGGAGGTTCCCCCAAAAAATTAAAAATAGAAATACCATATGATCTGATAATTCTACTACTGAGTACTTACCCAGAGCAAACAAAACTAATTTGAAAAGGTATTTGCACCGCTATGTTTAATGCAGCATTATTTACAATAGCCAAAGTATGGAAGCAAACTAAGTGTCCATTTATAGACAAAAGATTAAGAAAGATTATGTGTGTGTGTGTGTGTGTGTGTGTATTATTCCATGTATATACATGGAATGGAATATCATTCACTATTACTCAGCCATAATAAAAGGTGAGAATGTGCTATTTGCCAAAACATGAATGGGCCTAGAGAATATTATGCTAAGTGAAATATGTCAGACTGAGGAAGATAAATACCATATTATTTCATACGTATGCAGAATCTTAAACAAACCAAAAGCAGAATCAGACATAAATACAGAGAACAAATTAATGGTTACCAGAAGGGAGGGGATTGGGGGCATAGGCCAAATGGGTAAAGAGAAGCAGGTGATACAGGCTTCCAGCTGTGCAATGAATAAGTCACAGGAATAAAAGACACAGCATTAAGGAATGTAGTCAGTGATACTGCAATAATATATAGTGGCAGATGTAACTACACTTGTGGTGTGAGCATAGTATAATGCATAAACTTGTCATGGGGTGCCTGGGCGGCTCAGTCAGTTAAGCCTCTGAATCTTGATATTTAGCTCAGGTCATGATCTCAGGGTTGTGAAACCAAGCCCTGTATTGGGCTCCATACTGGGCATGGAGCCTGCTTAAGATTATCTCCCTCACCCTCTGCCCCTCCCACTCCACTTATGCTCACTCTTTTAAAAAAAAAAAATAACTTGTCAAATCAGTATATTATATACCTAATATACTTTATATATATATATATTACCTATTATATACCTAAGACTAATGTTATCACCATGTATCAACTATAATCAAAAATAAAATAAAATAACATGGGTATCCTCTTTTAAAACTTTGTTCCCTTTAGCACTTACAAACACTAAGGCTCACTGGTTCTCCAAGCTAGTAATTTGGGAGCCAGGAACCTGGTTGGAAGCCATAAAACTTGGTTTTCAAGTACGTGGTCCAGGCCCTTTGCTCTTTAGGAAGTTCCCTCCAGGTTGTAAGGCTTGTTCCAGGGTGGGACTTATGGCATTGAGTATGTCTCAGGTTTTCCTAATTATTTCAATTGTGGGTATTTTCTTAATTGCCTAATGTATAGGAGACACTCAACTAATTTCTGGATTTTTCTCAGAGGGAACTGGTTTGTGTTTAGCTGTATATGCAGTGCATCTATGGGAGGAAGAAAGTCAGGAGCCTCCTATTCTGCCATCTCTTTATATTTCACATGGGTTAATTGTAAACAACATGTAGTTGTGTGTGTGTGTGTGTGTGTGTGTGTGTGTGTGTGTGTGTGTTTTACATCAACTCTGACATTATCTGTCTTTTGATTGGTGTATTTAGACCACTGACATTTAAAATGATGATTATTATACCAGAATTAATATCTACTATACTCATTACTTCTTTCTTTCTTTTTCTTTCCATTTTCTCTCCTCTCTTATCAATGCTGCAAACAAGAGTTTTCTATCTTTTTTTCTTTCTTTCTTTCCTTCCTTCCTTCTTTCCTTCCTTCTCTCTCTCTCTCTCTTTCTTTCTTCTTTTGTTCCTTTCTTTTTTCTGCTTTTCACCCTAGGTACCTGATAGGGCTCTTGCAGGAAAATTTCATTAAAATGTGGGATATTATATAAGGCTATATCCTAGAACATTTTATCTCTCATTCTAGTTCATGTCCATTCTCCAGCAATTATTCAATGATACTTTAATTTTCTTACTAGTTGCTGGATCCAGTTTTGGTTTTTGTTTTCAGTAAGAAGTGATTCTCACTATCACCTATCTGTATAGTTTGGGAGTCATGGTTCAGCCTATGACTTCGGTTCTCTGATGAAGCTACAGGTTGCTGAATTTCAGTTTTTTCAGCTTTGTCTTGTTTTGGGTATGGGAGTGAGGACTTCCAAGTTCTTTCCGACTGGATAGCAGGAGTCTCACATATGTTTTAAAAATCATTTTTCCCAGATAGTGCATTTGGTTTGCTACTAATACAAATTGCATAACTCTAAAAAATGTTCATTTTCTAATTTTGTGTTCTTAGTATACAGATATAAAATTGGCTTTTGTATAGTTTTATCTTATATCCAGGAATCTTGTAAATCAATTGATAATTTTAAGAGTTTATGTGTAGGGGCGCCTGGGTGGCTCAGTGGGTTAAGCCGCTGCCTTCGGCTCAGGTTGTGATCTCAGGGTCCTGGGATCGAGTCCCGCATCGGGCTCTCTGCTCAGCAGGGAGCCTGCTTCCCTCTCTCTCTCTGCCTGCCTTTCTGTCTACTTATGATTTCTCTCTGTTAAATAAATAAAATTAAAAAAAAAGAGAGATTATGTGCAGACTAGGGATTCTTTTAGATTGCAATAACTGCACAGTCATATTGTCTGCAGCTTAGAGTTTTACCTCTCCCTTTTAATTTTTTTAAGTTTTCTTCTTACTTTATTGTAACAATTAGGGTAACCAGGACAATAATGAGTAAAAATAGTGATTAATACACAGTTATATATCATTCCAATATAGAAGGAAAATAATTTACTATTAAGTTGCTGAAAATCTTTTGTATTTTTTTAAGGAAACAAATTCCAAATAAAGAAATTTTAATTCATTTATTTTTTGAGATTATGACTTTTTTCTTATTTGATTAATGAGGTAAAGTTCTACATTGTTTTTTATTCCTGTACAATTAGTATTAAAATCCCCACTTTCTATTCAGATTTTAGTGATTTGAGTCTTCTTTCTTTTTTATTCATCAGTCTAAATTTTTCTCAGTTTCATTCATCTAATGAATCCTCTGTGGACAGAATATATTTGGAAAATGGTTTTGATGCATTCTACCAGTCTCTGCCTTTAGTTTGGAGAACTTAATCCACTTAAGTTTAATTACTGATAAGAAATAATTTATTGCTGCCATTCGTAGCTTGTTTTTATCCCCCTATTTCCTCTTATACTGACTCCTTTCATGTTCAATTGATTTTTTAAAGGACTATATACTTTGTTTCCTTTCTAAATTTCCTTTGTATATATTCTATAGATTTTCTTTTTGGTTACCAAGGGGATTATGTATAACTTCTTAAAATTATAACAACCTAATTTAAATCAATACCAAACTTAACTGAAAACATCCAAAAACCATGTCTATACAGCTCCACCCCCCTCTTTTTGTATTGTCACAAACAACATTTTTATACATTGTATGGTCAATGACATTGAGTTAGCATTATTTGTATATATTTTCTTTACAATATTATATAATAAAAAGTGGAGTTACAAACCACAATTTCAGTAATGCTGGCTTATATATTTGGCATGTACTTCACTAGAAATGTTTATTTCTTCATATAACTTAAAGTTACTGACTAACATCCTATCACTTTAACCTGAGAGATTCCCTTTAGAGTTTCCTATAATGCAGGTCTAGGAACAATGCCTTGAATGCCAGGAGATCTTCTAGTCTTTGTAGTTTGGTTTTGTGCTGGAGCACTCCTTCACACTTACACCAAATTTTCTTACTATTTTGAAGATTTCTTTTTCTTAAGTAGCGTTCTCTTAGTTACTGTAAACATTTGATTGTTTCCCACTGCTCTGACAAAGTCAGATTTGACAGTTTCTGGAGTTTTGCTTGTTTGATTTTTGTTTTTAACGTTTCTTCTAAAGATCAAGAATTTGGGGCCTCCTCATCTATTTTGCTGCCTTATGGCGGTTGTTTGGAAACTGTCTCAGAATACTCAGTTTATATTTTATTGTAAAGTACCTAGTCAACTGGCCACACCAGCTTTACACATATTCTAGCTTCTCACATCTTCTTCTCACCATTAGAAATGTCCCAACCTGGTGATAAGCTAAGAAGCAGCCATATTATCTATTTTGTGAAAGCTCCATTTATTTATTCCATCTTGTTATTAGAAAAGATGATGTAAGAAATGAATTATATTCTCTAAGAAACTGATCATATAACATCTAGTTTGTTATGAAATTTTACAATGTAGGTTGAATCCTATATATTTTTTGTTTCATAAACAGGAAAGGAAAACCAATTAACCATTATGCACCATTACCTAATGAATCCTTGTTTGGTGGATTAATGTGTACATAAAAAATTCACCTAATGATAAATATTAAAATATTATTAAATATTATTAAAATAAAATTACTTTTGAGAAAAGTTGTCTTACATTTGGATTTCTTATATATATATATATTTTTAATTTTCAGCATAACAGTATTCCTTGTTTTTGCACCACACCCAGTGCTCCATGCAATCCGTGCCCTCTCTAATACCCACCCCCTGGTTCCCCCAACCTCCCACCCCCTGCCGCTTCAAACCCCTCAGATTGTTTTTCAGAGTCCATAGTCTCTCATGGTTCACTATATTCTTTTAACAACAGAATGGTAGATTTAAAATACTTTAACTGTTAAACTGTGTTTTTCTTGTTCAAACATCATAAATCTTTACTTACCTATGACTTTGTTTAAATCTAATTGATGTATTAGATCACTAATTGATGTATATATTGCTGGACGATCTGCTGTGTCTGAAAGTTCTGAGGTTGCTTCATTTTTAACTAGAATAATAACAGATTATCAGATTAGTTGATTTAAAACTAAAATTTTGCTTATGGCAAAATTATAACACATAAAATTAATTAGAAATATTTTACTGGGCACCTGAGTGGCTCAGTGGGTTAAGCTGCTGCCTTCAGCTCAGGTCATGATCTCAGGGTCCTGGGATCGAGTCCTGCATCGGGGCTCCCTGCTTCCTCCCTGCTCAGCAGGGAGCCTGCTTCCCTCCCTCTCTCTCTGCCTGCCTCTCTACTTTGATCTCTCTCTCTCAAATAAATAAATAAATAAATCTTTAAAAAAAAAGAAATATTTTACTATATAGTTAGTTAGCCTTATTTTTTTATTTAATCATTTTTTTAAATTTATTTTCAGCATAACAGTATTCATTGTTTTTGTACCACACCCAGTGCTCCATGCAATCCGTGCCCTCTCTAATACCCACCACCTGGTTCCCCCAACCTCCCACCCGCCCTCTTCATCAATCTGAAGGGTTTGAAGAGTTAGTCTTATTTTTTTAAGTTTCTTTTAAAATTCCAATTAGTTAATTCAGTGAATCAGCATTTACATACAACACCTGGTGCTCATCACAAGGATACTCCCTAACTTTATTTACTATACAATATAACATACATTATCCAATTAAATACAAATGTGCCTAATAATTTTAAAACTGATTAAATAGCCACTATGTGCTAGGTATTATACTAAGCATTTTTCAAATATTACCTCCTTTAATATTCATAATAATTCTAGGAAGTAGGTATTTAATCCCATTTAACAAATATGGAAAATAGAGTTGAAAGAGATTATGAATATTTTAGAAATTCACATAGTTATTAAGTACAAAAACATGAAATTAATTTTGTTCTTTTAGGGTCCAAAATCTATTCTCCAGCTAGTAGTTTCAAATGTCGACCAGACTGAGCATGTAATGTGAGTGAAATGGAATTGCCTAAGTTCGGAGCGGCATGAATAATGAAGGGGAATGGACAGTATATGTTTATTAAAAATAAAAACCTATTACTCTTCCTGTTACAAATGCAGGCCTGGTGTTCCTGGATCATCTAAATTCTCAAGAGAATACAGAAATGTAGATATTTGCAAGGAATTCCAAGGTTTTAAAATATTTTCAAGTAATTTAAAAGTTTTAAGCATGGGACAAAAGAAATCATCAGCTATTATCACAAGAGATTCACCCAATTTTAGAAAGGATTAACCATTAACACATGGGTAAGATTTAAGAGTCAATTGCTAGGTTACATTTCTTTGTAAAACATCATTCTTTATCCATCAATTTATCTATCATCTAGAAACAGGAAAATAAGTTCTAAAATCCTAAAGAAATAAGCACTTTCGGAAGAAAAAAATACCAATAAGCAAAATATGCCAAGAAAAAAGTGGAAAGAAAAATTAAAAATTGAAATGCACAATTAAAGTAACCTTTCCAAAGGCCAGTCCTCCACATTTAAATCTATGAAATTCCTTATAATTCTTAAAGAATTAAATTGTATGCCATAGTACATAAAAAGGGAATTTTTGCATTCCTTTTACAAAGTTAAAATATTCATTTCAAAGATATTGACATTGAAATAGACATAACTGGCATAATTGCAATTAAAAATGCACATAGAAATATAATGCAATGAAATATAATGCAAGTTACATGTGTAACTAAAGATAATACCTTTATTAAAAATAAACAAGTAAAATCAATTTTAGTAATGTTTTATTTAACAAAATAAATCCAAAATATCATTGCAACACATAAAAGAATACAATTGATGAAATATTTTAAGTAGTCATTTTCACAGTAGGTCTTCAAACTCAAGCATGTATTATAAACTTGGAATACATCTCAATGAAGGTTAGCTGCATTTTAAGTGTTTGATATCTATGTGGTTAGTGATTGCTATGTTATGCAGTACATGTTTAGAATATAAATGCAAAAATCTTAAATAAACAATAAGGAAATAAAATCAGAAGTTTATTAAAATAACAGTATGGCATCATCTAGTAGGATCCATTCCCAGAATTTAAGGTAGGTCATCTCTGAATATAGTTATTATATCAATACTTCTCAAGAGAAGTGATGTAAGATTATTTTAAGGTAAAAAGTCATTTATAAAACTTAACCATAAATTCCTTTTTGAGTTTCCCCAACTTCACAGAGATATAATTTATATATAATATTGTATAAGTTTAGGGTGTGTATAAGTTTAGGGCTTATGATGTGATGATTTGATATACTTATATACTGAAAACTGAATACCATAATAAATTCAACATGTCTATCACTATATATATATATATATGTAGTATATATATACATATATATGTATATATATACATATACATATGTATATTGTATGTATATATATATTTGTTGGGAGGATATTTAAAATGTAGTCTCTTAGAAAGTTTCAAGTATACAGTATAGTATTAATAGCCACCATGCTGTATATTACATCCCCAGAACTTATTAATCTTATAAATTGAAGATTATACTCTTTGGCCAACATTTCCCCATTTCACCTACTCTCAGGTCCCTGGCAACCACTATTCTACTCTATGTTCCCATGAGTTAGTACATTTTGGATTACAAATATATAAGTAAGAATATACAGTACTTGTATTTTTTGTCTGACTTATTTCACGTAGCATAATAGCCTCAAGGTCCATCCATGTTTTGCAAAGGACAGTATTTCCTTCTTTTTTATGGCTGAATAATATTCCACTGTAGGTATTTACCATGCTTCCTTTATCCATTGATTTTTCAAAAAGACATGTAGGATTTTTTCCATATCTTGGCTAAGGTGATTAACGCTGTAAGGGACAGGGAAGTGCAGATATCCCTTTGGGATTCTGGTTTCATTTTCTTTGGATACATACCCAGAATATGGAATTTTGAATCATATGGTAATCCTATTATTTTTTTTTGAAGAACCTCCATATTATTTTCTGTTGGCTGTAACAATATGGTTCCCTTTTCTCCACTTTCTCACCAGAACTTGTTATCTCTTGTTTTATTGATAATATCCATTCTAACAGGTGTGAGATGATATCTTATTGTGGTTTTCCTTGACAATTAGTAATGTTGGGAATCTGTTCATCTACCTGCTGGCCATTTGAATTTCTTTGGAAAAAAGTATATATTCAGGTCCTCTACCCAGTTATAATGGGATTACTAGTGTCAATGCTATTGAGTTACATATTTAAGATATTGACCTCTTTTACCCAATATGTAGTTTAAAAACTTTTTTTTTCCTATTCTGCAGGTTTCCTTTTCATTTTGTTGAGTGCTTCTTTTGCTGCACAGATTTAAAATTTGATTTGTTCTATTTATTTATTCTTGTTTTTGTTGCTTGTGCTTTTGGTATCTTATCCAAAATGTCATTCCCAAGACCGATGTCAAAGAGCCTTTTCCTTAGGTCTTCTAGGAGATTTATGGTTTCAGGGCTTACAGTTCAGTCTTTAATCTATTTCAAATTGATTTTTATGTATAGGATCAATTTTATTTTTCACATGTGGATATTAAAGTTTCCCAACACAATTTATTGAAAAGACTATCCTTTCTTCATTTGAGTATTCTTGGCTTCCTTGTGAAATACTAGTTAACTGTATGCATTGGTTTATTTATGGACTCTCAATTCTCTTTCATTTGTCTGTGTGGCAGTTTTTTATGCCAGTTTTGATTACAATAGCTTTGTAGTATGTAGTTTAAAATCAGGAAGTCCATGTCTGCAATTTTGTTCTTTCTCAAGATAACTTTGGTTATTTATGGTTTTGTTGTTGTTGCTGTTCCACACAAATTTTATGATAGCTTTTCCTTTGCTGTGGAAATGCCGCGTATAGACACTGAAAAATCTATAGATGGCTTTGGGTTATATGAATATTTTAAAAATATTAATTCTTCTGGG